TTTATTTTGTTATATAATTTTTATAGTATAGAATTTTATACATAATTCAAATCTACCACAAAGCTTTATGCAATTATATAAGCTTAAGCTTCTTCTCTAAATACTTGAAGGAATTAGAAAGAAATATGTTTTTAATATCTTAGAAATAGAAAAAGTATAGGATCTTCTAAAGCAATATAATAGTTCTGACTATGTTCTTAATGGGTACGTTAGAAATTAATCAGAATATCAACGTAGTTTTTTGAACATTTTTCATTAGTATTATTAGCCATAATTATATTAATTCATAATTAATGATAAACTCACACTAGTTTTCGTTTCTTGTCTGATATAAAAGACATTTAAAGGCAGAAATACACTATTCTCTCAGTAGTTAGAAGACTTTTACTATGGAAATATAATAATATGATTCTAGCTTTATACTTTTCTAGACTACACGAGACAAACCAACAATACTTTGATATTCTCCTCAAATTAATAAAGACCAAAACATTTACAGTTCAAAATCCCGAAAAACAATTAAACATTTTTCTTTATATATTTTCTATGTATTCGGTTAGTGTGGATTTGTCTTAATGTGATTTTAAGAACCTTTCTAGAATAGTCTACGGTCATTGACACTAGACGCATAAGAAATTCTACCGCGGTTTGATTGTGAGAGCAAAAAATTGTAACATTATCTATACGAGTTAATAAGAGTATTGATTGCTCGACATACAGATTTATATCGCGACTTCGCTTGCTCTTAATAATGAGATAATAATTATAAATTAAAAGAATAATGAGAAAATTCTTATATTAAATGAAAGAACACTTCTGAATTACTTTATATCCAAAACATATGAGGTTTTTCGAGTTTATTTAGCCTGTTTATTGTTAAGGGTAGTCTAGACATGTAGATTTAATATGTTGTTTAACTAAACAAACAAATGAAAGGCAACATACACACATGAATAAAGTTTATTTGTTGTCAATCGCTCCGGGACCGGTCATTCTTGTTTTTGTAGGGCTGTGATCATTTTATTATGCTTGTTGGTTGTGTTGCCTATTGTATAGTATGAGAGCTGACCATATTATTCTATGTATAAGTTTAATTTGATTATTGTTTAATATACATGATATAGCTTTCATAACAAATTTATATTACATTAAAAGTATTGTTTACGTATTTTTATGTGTAATTGTATCAAAATAACTAGAGAAGAGAGTGTTACACATATAATCAAATTTTCAAAAGAAAAGTAGATATCGATGTTCAAAAAAATGTGTCTTAAACAAAATGTTCTTTCGATATATATATTTTAAATTACCTAAAACGTACCGTTCAGTATTTTAACCCTGGTTCTGGTCTCACATAGATAGTTGTAATATAAAAATGTATAAATCTCGTGTGTATGGCGCAGTCTCCCGCCTCAGTAGTCAGTTATCGACCGGCGTCTGTTTCGGCTAGTCGTGCGCGCGCAGACACGCCCCAAGTCTAGAACCTAGATTGGATCTAGGCTTCGTCGTGATGCCAGCCGATTGCGAAGCCTGCAAGAGTGAGTACCTCATTTAATAACTTAAAATATTTGAGTTTTTTTCATTCAATTATATTATTATTATCGATTTTGTTTTAATTATTGCCAGATTTTCGTTTAACGTGATTCAGTATCGATTTTTGGTTCGGATTTATATTTGAGTTATCCTTTGTTCCGGTGTCATCATACATTAAGGTTTAATCATTAAGTTAAATCCTAGATTCGACTTTTATTGCATTTATTTTATAGTTTCATCTAAAAGTTTCGTAAATTCTCTTATTTTATGAAAAAAAAATCTTATAAATACATGTAATAAAATAGAAGCTCAATTTTTAATATATCAAAAGTATTGTTTAAGAAGCGTGTTATAACTAGAATGTTCTACGACAGTGCAGTGTTTCTCAAGCATCTAACTGTTCTTCATTGCTTTGATTGCATCGAATCATTTGAACTGCAGTAGAGTTCATGCGAACAGAACATTACTTAGATTTATTATGACTTTATTATATAAAAAGATAATGTTATAATGTATCTTTCGTGTTGCTAATACTAGGTACTTAATATACATTATTTAATTGATTTATAGGTACTTGCGGGGGCGGCGTGGCCGCTTGCGGCAGCGCCTGCACTTGCGGCCCCAGCTGCGCTTGCGGCGATGGCAAGCCCGCTGGTAAGGACACCATAAAACAATCTAACTAAATCATTGAAAAAAACTAATATTTTTCGGATTTGAATCGTTGGTTGTTTAAAATATGGCCTTCATCTGTGTAAAGACATGCATAGTATATTCTGCCAGTGTCGTGTAGAATGGAGGAGACACGATCCGGGATTAACTTTTAAATTTTTCGGTTTTACTACGCATTGCTGATCATTTTAACTAGTTATATAGTCCCGACATTTCGGCTACTTTGCAATCGTGATCACCAAGACGAGATGTCAATGTCATCAAAGTTTATTAACAAAAAATATAATTTTTGTATATGGTCATAATGTTATGTCTTTTGTTACAGGGGACAAGCCCTGCTGCAAGGGCAAAAAGTAAAATGCTTACTTAAAAAGTAAAAAAGCTGTTCCGTAATGGATATATTATTCAAACATTCATAATATTCTACTTAGAATTAGTTTTGCGATATGCAGCATTATATGGCTTAGAGATTTATGGTATTATATAGACTAAGCTTTCTCTTCTAATGTTGTGTCGTCATGAAATAAAAATAGGTTAATAATGAAGTTAATGTTCTAACTAATAAGGTATGATATCGCTTACTGTGTTTTAATTATAATGTAGTTTTATCACATTCAGTGTAATTTTAATATATTAATATGGGTCCGTTGTACTGGAATACTCAATAATTTAAGTTATTTATCGGCGCACGCGCACATGCATGTGTAATTTCGTATAGTGTATGGTTAAGTAATAAATTAAGGAACCAATCGCTCGTTTTATTTATGAATTTCCTTTTCTAATAAAGCTGTGACTTTGAGATTGCTCATGAAACTTTATTACCAACGTTTTCTCATGACAAAGTTTTAGTAAGAAATATTTACTTTCAAAATACAAGGCAATAAGACAAAATTAAAATCATTTGAGTCTTCGATTGAAAGTAATAAAACAATAATCAAACCTTTCATTTTAGTGAAATTATGCCAAAATAATTGGGTATTTTTCTCACATTGCTATTTTATTGGATCAGGAGTATGAATTCAATTTTTTTCCTAAAACAAGTTACGTTACATGCACTTAATAATTTAATAATAACACTATATAGCTTTAAAAATGTGATCTTCAATAGCTTCGACTATTATCTAAATTGAAATTTTAATTATTTTACTCTTTGGAGTTAAGTTTTAAATAATTATATAGAAAATAAAATACCATAAAGATGCTATACATACTAAAATATTTTTTAATTAATAATAATGAATTAAACAATAATTTTGGCTGAATTACCAGACTTACTTTAGCAAACCAAACGTTTTAATGTGAACTGTGATTAGGTTTTATATCAATTATCGAAAATCATAGAGAACGAAGATAAATACAAATTAAAAAGCATCAAAAACAATACAAGTAGAACAATTATTATGATTGAAAAATTTGATAGTTTGTCTGTATTAGTAACTAAATACATTAAACTGATGAAGTTGTTTGAGTTTATTTTCTATGAAGTTATAAAACTGGAAGAACTAACATAAGTATTTCAAATAATCGTTATTATAGAAAAAGATATTTTCAAACACTATGTAACAAAAATAGTATAAGAATGAAATATGTATATTGACAATTCATATAAAATTTAAGTGAACATATAACGAGTGAAGTTTATCAAATTATATCAACTTAATAAATTAATTTAAAAATATTTTCATTCATTCATTAATTCTTATGAAAATGTGTTTGGAAATGCAAAGCAACACCTTGAAAACATATTAATTAATTACTGTTTCAAGTTCAAGAAAAATTTTAAATTACTACTGATAATACTATAAGAAATAATATAAAAATTAAACAAAATGAATCAAAAAAAAAATCTTTATTTATACGAATTGTATATGTAAATGATTACAATTACAATGGAAGCAATGCATGGGACTTCGACTTACATTATACTTAGGACCACTCACGAGAAAAAACAAAAACATACAAATTATTTAGAATACATAAAAATAACAATTATATAAAAAAAATGAAATAGTCACAGCATATAACACATAATATAATTCTTCCTACATCAAGTAGATAATAATCATCATCCTTACTTCATCGAAGAATAAAATATCATTATAAATTATATCATAGAAAAATAATTATATACTAACATTTACAATCTAAAACTATATCTACTTATTGTTTTGTATAAATAATTATCTTGGTGTCCACAAATAACTTCTCATATCGTATATCCATAATAAAAATAAAACATTTATTTATACTTATCAAAATACATCTTTAATAACATACATTCAGACACTCTATATGTATTATATAATCAGCGGACAATAAATAGTTCAACATCTTAAAGTACATAGAATTTTTTCCATATACAACATTTCAAAATATTTTTTTTATAATTAAATATATAGGAATCATTTATAAAAGAGATTACAACAAATGCATATCAATTCCATATTAATAATAATAAAAAAAATAACCTAAATAATGGCAACACTATTTGAGCCATACAGCATAATTATTGTTAATATAAAAACGATATTACATTAAAAAATAGTTGCCAGGCAACAAAAATATTAACATAGTATGAGAATCACAAGTCATACATTACATAGAGTAGCTGCTTTATATGCAACCACAGATAATAAAATATAACATAAAACTGATCATAGATACAGTTTCTTTATAGACTGTATAGTCTATGGTTATAGTTCGTCAATGTTGTCTCTTCTTCTTCCTGGCAATCTCCCAGCTTCAGCCAGGTTCTGCCTTAGACTGTATAGTCTATGGATATAGTTAGTCTATGTTGTCTATGGCACCGGTTCTTCTTCTGTTCCTTCTTCCGAGTCATACACAGGAGAGCCATTCTTCATTTGTATAACAGATTTCTTTCTGTGTCTATTATCCTTTTCGATGTTTCTGTAAAAATATATTTATATTTGTCATATGAATATATTGAAGAGAATTTCTTACGCGACTTCATACAAGGTTGCGTTAAACGTTTAACGCTCCCTCGGACGCTCAAAAGATGGAGCGAGAATGCGTGCAATCAATTTTGACTTCTAAGTAGTGTTAATAAAGTTTGTCTTAGAGAAACACAAAAATTTAATTAAAAATCAGTTTCTACCCCTTCCTAATTTTAATATTCCTACTATTTTTTATTTAAATAAGTATTTAAAATTCTGACTTTTATTACATACTTCACAATTTATAACAAACAGAAATATTATTTTGAAAGATATATTATTGTAATGGTCATTAAATTAATTACCTGCCGCTAATGAGTGGATGTAAAGCATTCTTCAGGCTTGAAAATATATAAGGATATAGCTTCTCATGTGTTTTCAAGATATCACGAGCCGAAGACAAAGGTTCTAATAACTCAGGCAAGGATTCTGATAAATCTTCCTCACGGTCCAATGAATGTCCTTTATCAGAACCGCATGGTAGAGAAATGGAACGATCCAATTTGTTTTTACTGAAATAATTAATGTATATTGTAAGAAAAATGCAATAGAAATGTAAATTAATTAAATGTTACTAAGAACCTTTTTACACTAAGTTTTATATAAGTTAACTATAACTTTTATACTAATAAAAGATAATAAAGAAACTTTATACACGAGAATGTAGCTGAATGAATGAACTATTATAATAAGAAAATAAAAACAAATTTATGATGTTATACAAATTATCAGTTAACATCTTAGGCCGTTCAAATATTACGTAAGCAGTATGGAGGGGCGGGGGGTCTTTGCTTTGCTTATTATGGTTGACATGGGGGGTAGATGAGTCTAGGTGATGATTACGTCATCTGTAGTTATTTACTTTTTTATCATCACATCAAGAAGATCCATAAAAAATTATAACTATGATTTTTTTATGGATTTATATTAAACAAAAAACAATACAGTAATTGAAAATGTTTACGTAAGCATGGGGGGAGGGGGTAAGAGCTTTACTTACTTTTGCTGACAAGAGGGATGGGGGGGTAAATAAGAGGGAGGATCTTACATACGAACATATATATATGTAATATTTGGACAAATGCTAAATGCCTGTATGCTAAATGCTATATATAATAGTTTTGTAGTATTATTAATAATGATTATCTCACCTGGGACCTAGGCCAGGTCTATCAGACACATCTCTGCCGAAGTCAGGCAGACCCTGGGAGCGAGCGAAGTGTTCCAGGTCGTGGGACCTCACGTAGATAAACGGACGCAGGATACGGATGTTGTGCTCCCTGATATATATAGAAAAATACATGGATATAATATATGGACTTGTCATTATAGGCCAATAAGGAAAAATTGCGTTTCAAGGATCATTGTTGGTTTAAATAGTGTTTGTGGCTATATGTACCGATTATAATGAGTCATTGTAATATAATATTTTAAATTAAATTATTCTACATGGATTAAACGACAGATTAAGATAATTTAATAGGATAATTACTTAAACATTTTTAAAGGGTGCTATTTAAGCATTAGACTACAAAAAAAACATTGTTACATCAATTACAATATACGCGTTTGTAGTTCAGCATGAACTATTTATCTACCACATTCCAAAAAGTCTATTCTAGATAAATACATTTATATTCCTAAGAAGTCTATCCTGGGATGAGCATAATAAAAATAATAACAAAATATTTCATCTTTAAGCAAATACGAATGAAGACATTAATATAAATATTGCTTTATAGCCAAATAGAAATATCAATCCAAGTCTCAGACAATAACTAGTGTCACTAATGCAATCAGTGCCGGCGTTAGAGGGACTGACACCCTGGGCAAGAATATTTTGGCGCCCACTTGAAGAAATCAAAATCGAGTATTAATTTTTTTCTGAACCAATGTGAACACTGAACGTGTATTAAGAATTCTATATTCCATATACCATCTTGCATCTTTCCTTTAGCATGACCTAGATCTAACGACGTGGACGTAGAAAGTTATGTAGCTCCTAATTTTTTTTCCCAAATTTGGCGCCCTGGGCCGTCGCTTCATCGCCCCCCCCCCCCCTTCTAACGCCGGCACTGACTGCAATACATATAAGTACTAACTTGACTCTATAATGCGCAGTGAGAGTTTTCAAGCCCGCTCCATGGAAGGCTGTCACGAGGAAGGCTGCGGCCGCCCGATCGAGGGTCTGCGCCACCGCGGCCGCTGAGAAGCCCTGCGACGCCGCCACTCCATACACACGACGACGGACCGAGTGACTCGACCAACGGATAGATGATGAGGTGGAACAAGCGGCTGGACAGACATACATACATACATTTCAATAGTTTTCTCATCACAAACAATTAGTTCTATATTTGTTGTAATAATCATCAGCCTATCAGAGCTAATTGCTGAGCAAAGGCCCCTTCTCACATGGAGCATACATACATACATCTTAATAGTTTTCTCATCACAAACAATTAGTTCTATATTTATTGTAATAATCATCAGCCTATCAGAGCTAATTGCTGAGCAAAGGCCGCTTTTCACATGGAGAACATTTGGGTATTAATCACTTGCTCAAGATACATTGGTGATTTTAAACTCATAATTTGAAATTATAAGTCTAAGTTTCCTCACTATATTTTATTTCAACTGTAAATGGTATCTAAATATTCTTAGAAAGTACATATGACTCGGAAAAATCATTGATACTTGCCAGGATTCGAACCAGTACCCTTATGCATGAGAAGTGGGTCTTTAACCACAATCTTTATTGTAATATGTACAAGATATGAGTAGAGGACATCATACATCACCACCCTTTTGGCCACAAACAAACAGCTTGTTCTACATTATTTGTAATACATATATACAAGACATGATTATAATATTTAAACATGCTTACTTGGTAATTGCTCTTTAATCTTGTCTTCATATATAAATTTCACTCCTAATGTTCTACAGTAGGCCATCAAATGTAGTGGATCGACGTCTGAGTTGGGCTCGTGGACAAACAAGGCACCTGGAATGTATATGTTTATATTGTTGAATAAAACTGTATTGAATTTGTATCGATGTATTGTGATAAGGAACAAGACTGAATGATAGAACATAGTATAATAAAGTTATCTACCTACATTATACTTGATGTCATTAACTAATACACAAGATATATATACATTTCTCAAGTTATATACAATAAGGATAGTTCTATTGACTTTGTACATACATATATTATACTTAATAATAATAATAATACTTCTTTTTTAAGAAAAAAACTAAGGAAAAAATCTGTTGTCAAATTAATTAAAAAGGGGTCAATTTAAAAACATTGTATTACTAACTAACACTAACAAATTAACATATAAACTAGTAAACAAATTATATATTTATTATAAATAAAGTTTTCTCCACACAGTATTCAACAAATAGAAACATTGAAATGGACAAAATATTACACAAATCCAGTGCGAATGAAGCCATAGCATAAAAAATAAGCTTTATAATGAATTTTAATATTATATTTTATATGATATAATATGTATATTATTTACCAATACTGAAGTGTATTCCCTTAGATCTGGCATAGAATTGATACTGATGCATAGTGTGAAGTAATGCAACTGATTCCCGACTACCAGACAGACATATGAGGATCTTATCACCCGCTTTTACCATGTTGTACTCATGTATCGCCTGGAAATATACATATATATATCTTTATATATATAATTCTTCTATGAGTGTGTATGTCACTGAACTTCTCTCAAACGACAGGACCGATTTTGATGAAATTTTTTGTGTGTGTTCAAAGGGATCTGGGAATGGTTTAGATTCACAATTTTGTCAGCTGGATAATTTTTTTTAGTTATTTTTTAATTAATTAGTAGTTGTTGATATAAGCGTTTTTTTTTACATTAGATTTGACAACTAACTAAAATGTCAATCATTCTGTCGCACTTCAAAACACTGAGATTTATGGCTTTAATAAGTAAACTCCAAAAATGTAAATAAAAAACGTAACAGATATTTCTTGATTATAGGGCATATTGATGGAATATGGAACTCTTTGTGTAATCAAGATTAGTTGTTCAATAAATTGACTGTATTTCATACTAGTCAAGTTTATTTTGTTTCTAATAAGTAAACAAATAAATAATGAAATTACTTTTAAATAAATATGCATGACATTTTTATAATGTATAAATTAAATAATTTGAAATAATTTCATACTAAAAATTGTGTATAATAATATTAAAATTATAGTTATGTAGTGTAATGCCACGTGTATAATGCCGCGTGTGTAATGCCATACCTCAACAGTGGCCCTCCAGACTTCTCTGGGTGGACAATGCCACTTCCCCTCATCATCCAAAGTGAAGTCTGTGAGGGAGGCCTCGCTACATGTACTATCTGCCTCCCAGTCTGGTTTGAATATACGGTCAGCATCACTGAAAATAATTATATATGTGGATTTGTGTTTATTATGGGGGATTGTAACATATTTATATATAATTTAGAAAAATAACTTGCTAATTTTGTGGTACTTTTTTGGGTTGTTTTTGGCCATACAACAATGCTGTTGCAATTTTAAACAAGCTCTTATCATGTATAGAAAATTAACTACCTATTATCTTGTCAATTAATGAAGAGAATATTTTTCAAAATACCCCATGCTGAGACAATCTCAATCTAAATAACTCCTAACAATGTTCTATTTTAATCATTACGAGCAAACATACGGGCAAATATAGTATTTAAATAAAACACCAAATATTTAATCAGCCGACCATATATGAGTATACTAAGTGTAGTATAGGAGTCAGTGGTGGCCTAGTGGTTAAAAGGCCCGGCTGTCTTGCACGAGGGCGCGGGTTCGATCCTGGCCCGGGCAAGTACCAAAGCGATTTTTCCGAGTCATATGTACTTTCTAAAAGTATTTAGTCATCCAAATTGATTCCCAAAAGAGGGTTGATTTAGGGTTTAGGGTTTAGGAGGGTTTAGGCGGCCGGTCGTAAAAACAAATAGCCAACTATTCACAAAGTGTAAGGCAGACCCTGGCTAAAGCTGGCAAATTGCCAGGTAGAAGAGCGTAGTATAGGATTACGTGTGACGACATACCTTCTTTCACAAAATTGTTCTTTATAGGGCTATGTGTGACGCCATACCTTCTTTCATAAAATTGTTCCTCTTGAGTCCTAGTGTCGGTGCTGTAACCACTGGAGCGTGAACTAGATGAAGCGTTAGACGAACGGCTGGAACGCTTAGAATCAAGCGCTGTAGTGCTGGAAGATTAAAAACAATATTATTTATTTAAAAGATACATCACACATATCCAGCACACATAAACAACAGATAAAATAGAAAAAAAATCTAGGACCTGATATGAGTAACAATTGCAGATGTACACACAAAGAATAAAACTTATTGTCTACCTGTTGAATTTAAGTGATAATTAAATAACTATTAAAGAAAGCATCTTAAGAACCAATATACAAAATTACAAGTTTATTAGTATACATGGAAACAGAACAGTGACAAAATGTGACTACAGTGATGTAGTGATATTCTATGGTTGCAATTATCTGTTCTTAAAATTGTAGTTTGTGTTGCCATGTAATTTTTTTAAATAATTAAAACTTTACCCAATTTATTTGAAATGCTTGTGTTTTTATGTCTTTATAATTTTTTAATTAAATTAAAACTGATTTAATTTTAATATTTTCATAATTTATATCTAATGATAATGTTTTATATTTCGAATAAACTGATGATTTAATTATTTATATGTACATTCATGATATTTGGCTTAATGCATAAATATAAAAAATACCAAATTTATGAAAGTATTTGTACTAATAAGCAAACCAAAACTATAATGTTGGTAATTTTCAATGATTAATATCTGTTTACAAGAAACATAAATGTCAAGACGACTCGAAATAAAGCCAGTGAAAAACTGAAATAGGATTCTGTGCCAAGATATTGTTCATACAACATAATTACATCTTTACATACATATATCATAGTTATATCTTCAATAAATTGACGAAATATGGGTCATGTAATACTTTTTTCAGAGCATAGATCAAAAAGTCAGTAGTTTCAAAAAATATACAGTATTTTATTGTAAATTTTTGAAGAGTATGGCAGAAAATTTGACTGGTCAACAAAAAACATGATAACTTTTATCTCATTATGTTTAGGACAGGGATAAAGATACTAGAAATAAAATTAAAATGCTTTAAATACGAATAGTTTTTTTTTGTAGTACCATTTTATAACATATTAGAATTAATTTTAATTTTTTATCAATTAAGAAAAGTTTTTCGTTTAATTAAAATTCGACCTGATTTAATCAAAATAAGTATTGTAATAAAATGAGAGTAATAGAATTTAAAATTAGCAAGTTTCTTTCTTGTTACAAATTTTTTTTGACCAGTATTATCTATGATATATAATGTTCCTATATGTTAGTAAGTTGACCTAAGAGTACCAAGTATAGATTATAAATAATTAATGAATGAACACAAACCGATTATGTTTTTCATTATCATCAGGTATCTGAAAGACAACCCTCGCTGTATCATGTTCACAGTTCTTGGCCGTCCTCGTGTGATCCCCTGAACAAACTGGAACACCCTCTATAATATCCGGTACCTCACTCTTCTCATATTTTTGACACATACGTAATCTTCCTTGCAGTTTTTTCAGTTTGTTTGATGATGTATCCGAAGATGTACGCCATTTGTCTAGAAAAAAGTTGATTTAAATTAATTGAAACCATTAAGAGTTATACTAATGAATATAGTCGTAACTTTCAATTGGAATAGGAAATCATGATAGAACAATTCATTTAAATAAGATATTGTACACGTTAATGGAATCTGCTGAAAACTGGCTTAAATGGTCTCCATTGATAATATTTCCAGTTTAAACGAAACTTCTTAGCATTCAATGGGTCCATCGTTGCAGGGAGAGGAGCTTCAACGGTGCCTGGGATTTGCGACCCAGGTGTAGGTTTAAAGGCCCAATATCTAACGCGCGTTATACGCTCACCTCCACTATCCAAGCTCCTCTCTCTACCTAACCAAAATTTGAAAATAACCTACTAGGGCTATCATATCTCTCGATCCTAATTCTACGATGAACCTATTCCTAGTGAGCTCGTAATAACTGGTAATTATAACTCACCGAAGTCTATATAGGAGTCTGTTTCTGTGAAGGTCAGATTTATTCCGCTGTCCTGTGAACTAATGGATGGGTTTTGGCACCAGTTCTTCTTGATACAATAATGCCTGCAAGTCGGATCTGTACACGATTCATCATCTGATAGTTTGTTCGCACTTGATGACTTGGAGAGTATTGGGGAGTTGTGTGACGTCATCACTTGTACGATCGTGTCCGGTGTGGAAGTCTCGCTGGAATTGAACGAGATGCTGTTGGGTGCTGATGTCTCATGACTGGGAGTGTTTTGTGCTGATAGCGGCGAACGTTTGCAGCAGTTATCATCATCATACTGGCTCGGAAGTACCGGACTTGTCGGACACTTCTTCAACACTTGTTTTTGATTGTTCAAATCCAATCCGAGTTCCGGACCGGATCCTATCCTTCTTCTACCGGTTTGAGGAGGCGAACTTCTCCTGGATCCGGATAGTTCGGGAGAAATCATCTCATCTACGGTGTTAACCATTTCTCTGAACTCATGTTTCACCTCCGAAGCTATTTCCCTCGACATACCGATTAATAGTTCAGCGACGTCTACAACTGATACTGAGTTCTTATCACTCTGACTAGATATGGACGTCATACTCATATTAGCCTGTTCTAGAGAATCGGAATTTTCTAGTATATCGTCCACTTTAGATATGACCCCTCTTAACTGGGATCTTATTTGTGTTGCGATTTCGTTGGTCGTCACTTTGACTATAGCTTCTAGGTCCTCAGATGTATGGGAGGTCACTGATGTGGTAGGCGAAGTACGTCCAACTTGACTACAATCAGATATGGAAGAACTGCTCTGTGTACTGTATGGATACTTCTTAGTGGGCGACATATCGTCTAGCGAGGGTAGATCAGTTTGACTCCCGCAGTTACAGAAGCCGATAGTTTTTTCACCGTTTCCGTCAGTTTCCTCTTTCAGTCCAAGGTTCAATCTCGCTCGTGCACTCAACTGTACAGGCGGTAGGTCGGATCCTAATGAATAGCATCTTGACCTCCCGAGCATGGGTTTCGCATTCTGTGGGACTATACGTAAAGGAGAAACGGATTCTCCAACAGCGAATTGCACTGGGTTTGATGTCATCGTTACAGCTTTCTCCTTAGTGGTTTCCTTCAAGCTTGATTCTCTTGAATAGAACTTCTGTCTTTGTTTGAGTTTCAGTAAATGGCAGTCGTCTATGGCTGATAAGCTGAAGTGTCTAGAAGTAGTGCCCAAGACAGGAGAGGAGGTGTTAGATGACCGTGAATTGTTCAGGCTCTTTCTGGTTCCAGTATATCCCACGGGATCGAAGGGTACAATATGTTTGACATTCGCGGACTTGCCCAGCAACAGGTCATGAGCCTCCTTCGGTAACATGAACCATCTCAAGTAATCGATTTTCGGATTAAAACTCACTTCAGGCTCAACTGTTGAACACTTCATGGCCAATTTCCTAGCACGATTGAAAAGATTACGAGCTGTTTGCAAACATTCCGCGAATGTTTGAGGGAATATTCCTGGACCTACGATCAAAGTAAAAAATATTTATTAAAAACACAAAAAAATTAAAGCTATTTTTTTAAATTTATTTTTTTACCTGACACTCGTCTCTCGTTGGCTGTAATTTTTCCATCGTTGAACCTTATAGAATACAATGACTTCTTATCTCTAAGTACTGAACACGAATGATGTCTCCATTGGCCGGTTTCTGAGTTCACTACATACTGCGGCAAAATCTTCCATCCTTCCGTGGCAACCATTTTCAGAGCTTCCAAAACGAAAGCCAATTCATTTTCAGACATAAAGAAGGGTAGTGATATTCGACAAAATCCCGGCCGTAATGGTTCATTGTAAATTGGAACTTCGGGGGATTTAACTACACTCAGTTTACGTACTCGAGATATTTCTTTTTGACTGAAAAATAACATAATATTAGCACATACGTATAATCAAACAAAAAACAGTCTTATTGTTATGAACATACGCTTCAACATCCAATAACTTTTCGTATTCCTTCAACAAATGATCATCTATCCCCAAGATATCTGATCCGTAATTCAAATCTCCACTAAGTCCACCACGAGCCTGGATACCGAAGACGTCGTTCAGAACAGCACAGATGAAGTTATGATGCAGGAAAATACCCCTCGGATGTTTAACCATTAATGAAAATATCGGCAAACGTCTCGTACGGGATTCGCTACCCAATAAAATCAATTCAGGTATGTTCTTTATATGCGAGAGGACTTGTCTGAAACAAACATAGTAATTTAGTAAAACCACCATCTTTACATATAAAAGAAAGTCGTGTTAGTTGCACTATTTATAACTCAAGAATGGCTGTACGGATTTGGCAGAAATATTACGGAAATAGCATGGAACAAGATAAAGGATATAGGATACTTATTTCATCGGATTAAATAATAATAATAAGTTGATCAAATCCAAAATCTTATCTACTATCTAAGGAACAGAATTCGAACGGTTAACTATACATATATATTTCTAATTCTGAAATTAACGCATACTGTCGCGGGAAAAATCTAGTTATATATAAAAACGGAATCGTATACCCAAATTTAGATTTGAATGAATTATAAATAAGAGGAGTATTAAACTAAACTATCCGATAAAATAAACTATATTATTAAGTATTATTATGTGTAAAGATATATCGAAGCGTTGCAGTTGATAACCTTATAAGAACACGACCTTAAATAATGAAGAACACGAGAAAGAAAATGAATTAAGAAGTTAAATTAAGGCCATTCAATTAACTCACACTTTACTTTTAACTCGAATAACAATTCCTATAAACATAAACTCAAATTATGACAGCTATAGTATAAAACAAACATGCAAAGCCTTTGTCGAATAGCCTGAAGGCTTCGTGGCTTTGAGTAAAAAAATACACAGCAAGTTATATCTTTTAACTAATATTAAAAATTGTAACTATGACAATTTTATATGTATATAATAGAACTATAATAGTTATACGACCATAAGTACTTATATGAAATAAGAATATTAACAATGATGTATATATATTTATTACGAGAAATCTAATAAATATATTTTAGCCAAAAAATCCGCTAACAAATTCATAACTTTAATTTAACTGACTTAACTTGACTGACAATATTACATTCATTATGCTTAGTTAATAAACTAAACAAATGAAACTGAACATTTAAAAACGACTACAACATACAAATAAATCTATAAAATAATAAAAATAAACGTTTGAATATTTTTTTATGTTAAAAGGGAGCAAACGAGCAGTCGGCCTAACCAATGGAGGTAGTTACCGTCGCCCATGGACATATGCAACATAAATTTTGTGAAATCGTTGCCGACCTTAATTGGGGAAAGAGAGGAAAGGGTAGGAAAATCGAAAGGGCAGAAAAGGGTAGGAAAAGGAAAAGGGCAACCAGAGCTCTCAGTCATATGATGAAACGCAGAAATGTCATTATCTTCGTTGATTATTTAGTTTAAATAAATATAACAAGAATGTCAACATCTTCAATATATTAGTAACATATATATGATAATATATAATATTAATTAAAATTTTAGACACAGACACACGTATTGTAAACTTCTCTTATAAAAGAATAATTTTCTTCTAAAATGGGTGTTTTTTTTTAATAGATAAAGAAATGTAAGATAAATGTTAGTACAATAAGAATTGAATATGTATCTAGATTTTTTGTTTGAAGCGCGTAAAATTATTTGTTTATTTAAATTTGGTTAACAAAAAATTGATGTCATATAAAACTATCACCATAGAATAGACGTTCTAGCATTAACATTTATATAGGAAAGAGAAAAATACGTTTGTTACTCATAAAACTAGCGAAACGAGGTTTAGGAGTGAAGCAATAAATATAACTTGTGAAGAAATTAAAAAGAATCAAGGATTTTCTTTACAATTTTAATGTCATATTCGATATTATATGTATTAAATGCATACATTAATAGCAAGGAAAGAAATCTTGTGGAGACAAAAAGCAATAAAACATACAAATACAGTCACACACACTTACATTAATGTATATATTATATACACACACACATACGCATATATAAACGTATATCATACACATGAAGACAAATACACACACACACACACACACACACACACACACACACACACACACACACACAAAGGAGATAATATGATGAATCTTTGACAGCTATGAAATGTAATCGATTTAATGACAATATTATCAGACATTGCGACGCCGATAACGGGGCATTGAAAACGTAAAACAGGAAATAAGAACAACACTAGTGACCTAATTTATAACTTTAATACGATAATAAATAACATTTATTATTATAGAATAAATAAAAATTAACCTTTTTATAAAATAAGTAAATTCTAGGTCTCGTTTTGGCGCTAAATAATTCATTAATTGCCAGTCAGTCATAAAGAAATCGACTATTTAATTAGCAATAATAACAAAAAGTTCTCAACATAGGCAGATATAGTCAACGAAATTATTTAAGTTATTATTTCTATGAAGGATGAAAGTTCCATAAATTTTTAACAATTATATACATATATTGATAATAAATTAAAATGCATACGAGTATTCATATAAATTAAATTCAATATAGTTGTTAAACAAATGACGCCGTCTTGTAACAATCGTGATCAAAATGATTGAAATAGGTTTAATATTTATATATATTGAATTTAATTGAGATAAATAATAAAAACAAAAAAGTATACAAGACTATCAATATGTTCATTGAAGGGAATGTGATTTTTACAAAACTAATTAGAATTTAAAAATAAGAAATAAGATATGAAAACTTTCGCGAGTATTCATTTAAATGAAACTAATATTTTTTTAACTACATAGTATATTATTATTTTAAAACTACATACTCTCGACGTTTCGGTTACTTTTCAGCAACCGTGATAACGGTAGTAATCCGATCAATACATATTAATTGGAATAATATTACTTTCATTTAAACAAATAAGTCAGTTTACATTATTTTTATATATTACTCATGATTCACAGAGCATATGATTGTCGCATTATGTCAAGGCTACCGACATCACAATATAAATATTAAAACATATTGTTTCAATTATTATTTAAACTACATATAAATTGTTTATCTTTCGACTCAATATAAAATTAAAAATATTACACGCATTTTATAGTAATATAGGCACAACTAGATCGGATTAAAAGCGTTGTAAATTTAGCACATAATTTTGGTAACGTTAAAACTATAGTAAACACGATATAACTGTTCGTTTATATGTAAATGGCGCCACAATAATGTTTTATACACGTGTTGGATAACATAGTAGTTAGCTGTACCCAAGGTCAGTATAATGGAGCGTTGCCAGATCACTTGGCAACTTGTACTCAATGAAACCCATACTATTGTACCAGTAAGGAAGTTTTCCTTTGTCTGTATGTATGTGTCCAGATGTCAAAACTATGTGTTATATGCTACTGGGAGTAGGTTTGTTAGTATATATGTATGTATTAATTATATATACGATGAAATAATTAAAAATAAATTAACATTGTAAGGTACAATTGCATAGGTATATCAAGATGAATAAAAAAAATTCTTAAGACATTTTTTGATTATATTACGAACAAAAATCTGACCATAATATATTATATATATATTAATGTACCTACGTATGTTTTATTCAAACGGCCCGATGATAATGATTTTTATATGTTTTTGCTTCAATAAAATGTAGACAAGACATAAATGTTTCATACAATGTGTCTCCATTGCGGATGAATTTATGAGATACCGGTAATAATATTATATCACAGGAAACATTATATAATGAAAATATAATATTATTATGAAAAAAATAAAATAATCTGAGTTAATGATCACAATTCTATTACATCAACATAATCCGTGTCCCCAATACGTTACGAAAACTATTTCAAAGATTAATTCGTTTTTCTAAATAGAATTTACGAAGGGTAACCTCAATACTGTAAGTATCACAGTTTTTATTTACTTAAGCGAAAAAATAGATTACTCAAGTCATAAGGTAAGAACAATTGATTTACTTTGTAAGTTATAGTTACAAAAATAACACGTACTTAGGGAATATATGACCATAAAAATATAGACGAATCGAAAACCTCCTGTTTTTGAAGTCGGTTAAAATGAGTTCTACTCAGCTATGTGTATAGTTGGCAATGTAAATGTATGCTCGTTGTAATACTTAATAGTTCTATTAAGGAAAATGCGTCGATAATTCAAATTGCATAACAAGTTAATGCAATCAACTCAATTGACCGGTTTTTATGACATTACGATGTTATTTTGTGTTTTATTAGAGAAGTGATACAGATATATTAAAAATGTTTTACTTAAGAAAGTTTAGTACTGTAAATTCTTTTTTTAATTATTTATTATGTATCAAGTGGAAATAACTATTGTCATTCAAAAGAAGTATAAGTTATCTCTTAAAAGAGATCTGTCAGAAACAAGAAAAGAATGTGTGTTGAAGGTACAATACAAAAAAAGAAGGAAAGAAGATACTATAATGATTAGACAAAGAAAATTCACTTCAAACATATGTATTCTATAAAGTATTGCAATTTGACTTATAAAATACTAATTATATGACCTTTATACTACTGCCTACTTTTCACGTCTTTTTAATATGATTATATTGTAGTCTTTGTATTTATTCTCGTTAAACGAAAAACGAATAAACAATGAAGCGAAACAAATTAAACAATAAATAAGTTTTAATACTAGAAAGTTCTATGTGACAAAGTACAATTTGTCATTTGTTATAGAATACTAGCTGACCCGGCGAACTGCGTACCGCCTAATAATCAAGAAATATCTATTACGTTTTTTTATTTATATTTTTGGAGTTTACCTATTAAAGCCATAAATCTCCGTGTTTTGAAGTGCGACAGAATGATTGACATATTAGTTAGTTGTCAAATCTAATGTCAAAAAAAAAACGTTTGTATGGGAAATAGAAAAGGGCTGTTTTTATAGTTTTCCCCGTAATGAATAATTTTTTTCAACTTTTATACCTTCCCTGAACCTCCACGAACATTTCAAGACTACGATAAGATAAATCCGTTCAGTCGTTCTCGAGTTTTAGCGAGACTAAGGAACAGCAATCCATTTTTATA